CGCCAAGTAATCATCCTATGGAGATACGCTGTGATCGGTCGTTCATTAGCGACTCCCAGCCGGCGGCTTATGGTGTTGTTGCGGTTAACCACCATGGACAAGTATGTGATGGGCGAGCTTAGACTCTTCTTTGCTCCACCCCGATTGAAGCGGAAGCAAAAGCTCTCTTAGAAGGTTTAAAATTAGCACAAGAATATGGATCAGAAAGCATTGTCCAATCTGACTGTCAGGTGTTGGTGAAAGCATTGGGTAAAGAAAAATCAGGATGGCCATGGCGCTGTGCAGCATGGATTGGTTCGATGATCAATATCCTCAGGACAAATCCTGTTATTAAAGTCAAAGAGGTGCCTCGAGCATTGAATGTCAGAGCGGATTGGGTGTCACGATCAAAAGCGAGATCTAATCTGCCTGATGACTGGATTAATATTCTTGATTTAATTTCTAATCTTCTTTAAGATTGTAATTTGCCTTCGTTTTCTTTCGGAAGTGGAATAAAAGTTGGATTAATTGTCAAAAAAAATGTAATTGCTTTAGCTTAAAGGAAGAATTACACGTAAATGAATTTACAAATTAGTCCTTTCGTCCCCAATCACTATCAATCATAAGAAAAAGCTAGACCCAGCTACTGATAATGGGGCCGGTACTCGTCTACTCGATACCATACCCACAAAGCGAATCCAATTTAAACGGTTATATTTTGAAAATATTCATTTTTCACTACAAAAATCAAAACAAACTATGACATAGTTAATTTACTTAATTATTCGTAAAATTAAGATTCTCGCATATTTACAACTTTATCATAGATAAAATATTTAGATAATAAAAGTAAAACATTAAATAATCCGGATTTATTATCAGATGGAGCGCGATTTTTCGCTGTGAAATCCGCGAATATTTTTTTAAAGGGACAGCGCAGAAGAGAAGGAGAGGAACTTTCGGCGGTGATATCTGTCGAGCTGGTGAGATGGAATCGCCGATAAGGTTTATAGAGGAAGTCAAAAATAGGTCGGATCTGCATCTGAAAGAGACCCTGAAAGAGACTTTGTTGATTCGCCGGTCAGCAGACGACGAACGATATCGCAGTTCAATTCAAACACAGGTTGAGTTTGGGCGAATCACCATCGGATCTTGTTTGTGATTGAAGAGATTGGAAAGTTGTACGAAGAAAGGGATTTGTCGATGAGAAAGAAAAGAATTAAGAAGTTGTTGAACGATGCGAGTAGGGTGTGAACGTTGCGCCGGCAATTTTTCATATGAAATGGAATTTTGTTTTCTGATGCAGGGAAGGAGGCAAGGGAGTTACTTAGGTTTAGGGGTTCAGCATTGGCCATAGATTTGGCCTTTGGTCCGTGTTGTTTGGCCATTGTGTGGTCTTTTTTTCTTTTCTCTAACTTTCATTTTGAATGATTAACATTTGGGTTATTGAACTTAGGTATTATTTTACACAAGTGTATTTGTTGAATTATATTTTCTTATTGTATTTTTTCATAGATGTGTGATGATATCTTAAACCTATGATAATATATTATATATTAATATTAATCATTTTTTGGCTCTCTAACTACATAATTCTCTATAGATAGACGCTCTCATGCTCTCGTTCTCACTCCCGCTCTCGCTCCATGAATCAAAATCCTAAATCTAGCTCACTCCACCTCTTTTTAAATGCGACTATCCACTCCAAAACAAGTCAAACAAGTCTGACAAAATGGGTCATGTCGAAATTGTCATATCCTCTCTCCCCCTTATTAATAGGGTTGAGAGCAGATTTGTAGCTTCTCCTTATGATTGGATGGATCGCCTCCAGCTCATCGATAAAATTCATCAATTTCAACAATGTCACTTGTGGTTATAGGTGTCAAAACAGAACCCGGCCCAACTAACCCGCCCGATCAACCCGACCCGTAACCCGAGTTGACTAAAAGTGAACAACCCGTAACCCGCCCGACTCGCAACCCGACTAAGCCGCAACCTGATTAACCCGAACCCAACTAACCCGCAACCTGACCGACTCAACCCGAACTTCTCCTAATCCACTTGAATAATTATTATATTATATAATACAACTTTTGGGAAGAGAAAGAAGAGGAAAATTAGGTTCTTTGAATTTTTTAAGTAAAATTATATAATACAACTTTTCATTCTAAACTTAGGTAAAATTTAAAAACAATTATTTCTTCATTTCATAATAGGAAATTTAAAAATATGAAACTCACTTGATATTATTTATTTTAATAAAATTACAAAAATTAAAATATGAAGATCACTTGAACACTAAGTTCTTTAACAAAATAAAAATTGTAAAATAGCAAATATAAAATCAGCACATGTGAATATTAATAATATAATAGTTGAGATCATGGACAATATTAATATAATATATAAATTAAAATTTTGATTAATTTAATTATTCAATAAAGTTATCAATTAAATATAAATAAAGTAAAGCAATGTATTAGATAATTTGTTGCTTTTAAAAGAATGGGAAAATTTCGGTGTATTGAACTTTTTGGAAAAAGAAAGAAGATGGAAATTAGGTTTTTTGAATTTTTTAGAAAAGAAAAGGGGGGATTTTTGGTTGTTTTGATTTGTGGGAAAGTTTGGTTCTTTTGATTATGAAAGAGAAATAATGAGGAAAATTTTGAGTTTTCAACTTTTTTTGGAAGGAATGAAGGAAAAGAGAAATTTGGTTCTTCAAATGGAAGAGAAAGAGGAGGGAAATTTCAAATTTGGTTCTTTCAATTTTATCGAAGAGAAAAAGGAGTGAAAATTGAGTGTTTCTAATTTATGGAAAGAGAAAGAAGGCGGAGAATTTGAGTATTTTAATTTTTTTAAAGAAAAAAGAAAACAAATTTGGTGTTTACAACAATCATCTATTTTAGCAAAATTCACTTAATTTGTCTACTTGTTTTCTATGCTTCTACATTTATTGCAATTTCAACACTACATGATCGTTATTTTACAACACTTAGTAAAATTTTCGCACATTTAAGTTGTGTTCAAGTTGAACTTTCATTTCAAAATGGGTGTTAAACTTGACCTATTAAGTCTTACGACTGCAATACCTCAGTCAAGTTGCGGGTTTGGAAATTTTGGTTAATCGGGTTGCGGGTCACTTTGGAAGGGAAATGAGATGGAGGTTTGGATGAGAACTTTGGAATGGAAAATTTATGGGGGTGATTATGAGCCAACAATTATACTAAATATAATAAGTAATTTTTGATGGTTCGTTGTTTAGCGTATAAAGTATATGGTTAGGGTATAGGGTTATATGGTTAGGGTATAAGGTATTGATAGTTTTGACGGTTCTAAGTTTTTTATTAACATATGTTCACTTGAAGTCATTTAAAATATTTAACGGCAGGAGATCCCTTTTTAATTTATGTTTATGGTACGTGGTTAGGGTACAGGATATATGGTGTAGAGTATAGAATATATGGTTAGGGTATAGCAAATATCACTTTTTTATCTATGTTTCGAAAATCAAAGTATGAATTTCACATTAAATTAACTATACTAGCAAAATCACAACTCATAGGGATATATGGTTAAGGTATAGGGTATGTTGTTAGAGTATAATATATAGATGGTTTAGGGTATACGATCAACATATATTAACTTAATATTGTCGATTGAGAGTAAGACTAAGTGTTTAGGATATATGTTATTGAGTAAGTTATGATTGAAGTCACAACAATTTTACTAAATTTGATAGTTAATATTTAATGGTTCAATTTTTAGGGTAATTCGGACAATTTTACAAATAACTCGTTTGGCAACAGTTTACTGAAGTTATTAGGGCAATGAATTACTTCGAAATAACTCATTTTACTACTATGCTTTTGCCAAATACCCCACGCCAAATACCAGATTTGCATGGTTATACTAAAGAGATACTATAATCCAAATACTACTGAAATAATATCAAAATACCAAGTACATAATTAATGGTGTCTTTTGGTTGCAAATGTTGATATAACCATTACTATTAGCTAGTGTACTTTAGTACTTTACCAATTATGATTAATTACATAACAAGTTTGCAAGTCATATAAATTTATTCAACATTTTGACTAGTTTTCTTAAAATTAAGTGTATATATGAGGTAGAAAGAAATTGGTTAAAAATTAATTATAACATTTTAAATTAGTGTAATAAAGTGTAAGTTGGTAACGAATAAGGAGTAAGTTACTCGATGCGCTGACCCGAACAACCCGCAACCCGTCCGACCCAAAACCCGATGAACCCGTAATCTGATTTGCTTGCAGCCTGATTGAACCCAAACCCTATGAGCCCGCAACCCGTTTGAACCCAAACCCGATGAACACAAACCCGATAAACTCGCAACCCGATGAACCCGCAATCCGTTTGAACCCGAACCCGATTGAACCCAGCCCGAACCCGCCCGATTGACTGCTTGTGGTTCAGGGTGGCAACTGGTAATCGCTGCATCTATTAGGGCTGGCTATTTGGTCCGGATTTTTTTATTTTACCCGAAACCGAACTGTATTACCCGGACCAAGACCGAATAATAAACAATCCAATCCAATCTTTGGGTTTAACCAACTCCTCACCTTTTAGGCCTTAGGCCACTCAAATCCCCACAAACTCAATATAAAATCAAGACCGGATCGAGACCGGACCAGATCAAGACCGGATTATATCCAATCTTTGGTCCTTATATTTTTAAAAAGACCGAACTGAACCGGATCAATTTGGACCAATTTAACCGGTCCGTAGCCACCACCCCTACCCCTAGCATCTATCAAGACTTCTTAGCTTTGAGTTCTGCCTTATCTCGGTTAGTTCCATTTCCATATCATAAACATCAATACAGATAATTCGCCATTACAGCAATCAAGCTCGATTTACCTGCCCCAAGACAAGAGGGTTGAACGGTGAATACCCTCTTTTGCGAGCCTTCCCAACTTCCCTGTAGACTGTAGTAGTCCTTCCTATTCACAAATCTCTCTAGATCTTTTAAGATTGTGTTCTGCACGCAGCTTTGGCTGCCAATTGTGGCTCCAATTAGCATGCCACCCAATCCAGTTAAATTTAACTGAACAAGCAGAACCCTATGAATCCAAATTATCTGTTTTTGCATATTAGAATCCAACGCTCCGGGCTAGAATGTAAACTAAGTTGATAAAAGATCTACCAAGGTAGTCGAGATCAATATGCATAGTATAAGACTAGATGCAGAAAAGAAATTACAGAACGCATAAAAATATCATCAGCCTCCTTAAGCGACATCATGCAAATGGAAAGAACCAAGATCCAAAATGGCAAGAAGAGCTTACAAGTACTAACAACAGGATACCAAAAACTTGCAGGGCTCTGCTGACACTGATCTCTAATTCGCTCTGGGGGTAGCCCACTCAACACGAAGGATAAGGTTGTCATAACCATATCCGTTCAGCTTGTTTATCGCCCTCTCAGCATCTTCCTTGCTCACAAAGTTGACGAACCCAAAACCTCTGCTGACACCAGTCTTCTGATCGATAGCAACATAGACACGACTCACAGGACCAAATGGGCGGAAGAGATCGAGCAAGTCCGGCTCACGTGTGTCCTCAGAGAGGTTGGTGACACGAACCGAATTCTCTTCATTCCTGCGCCGCATATCCGAACCAACACTTCTCTCAGCACCAGGCCTCATGCTTGGTGGGACATAAGAACCCTTGGTGGCTCCGCCAGGAGCAGCAGCCTCAGATGTAGGAGGTTTGTCAACAAATGATTCGACCGGGGCAGCAAGATCCTTGTACGGACACCTTGATGTCCAGTGATCTCCTTTCTTCCCACATGTTCTGCACAACATGAGAACTGCTCCTTTGGGTAGCTGAGTCAAGCTATCACCACCCAACTTGTTTTCTTCCTGTTTGCTACCTATTTAACCCATTACAAAATTTGAGAGAAACTCATGTTAGCAGTTATCATGGTCTTAGAAACCAACAAGTCCCCGTGGTATCCACACAATGAAGAAACACTTTCATGGAGGCTAATGAGCACATCCATTATAAAAAACAAAAGGAAGTGGCATTGGAGAAGTGAAAAGGCAGAAAGAGCAAGTAGGTCAGTGATTACAATACAATACAGAACTTAAAGTTCAAAGCAATTGGTGGCGAACTTGTGGATGTTGTTGATGACCTATGGCAGTGAAACCAAATTATAGTTCACCATTGAATGCCGCCAACAGAATCTCAGTTTCGGTGGTATACTGACCATTCACATAAATCAGAAGCTCAAAGGCTAACATGTGACTGGCTAATTGACCACCATAAACAAAACAGCAAAAACAAAAATGGTGCAGCCATAAACAGAGAGAACGGGCATGAACAGGATATGAATGAAACATTCAACAGCGTTCAAATTGATCAGTGCTTTAATGTCTCCGTAACTGAATCGCCCAACTTCTAAGATTACATCAGTACACCCACCATGTATTCACAAACACATAGCATAACAAATGCTAACAAATCAATGGAATGAAAACACAGATATTAACCCGAAAAAGGAAATCACACTTCTCAATACCCTTATATCGAATAAAAGCAGCCAGACACCAGAATCAGGTTACTCGCATCTTAAGACGGAAGGAAGATATCAAACAAACTTCAGATGGAAAAGAAACGACGAAGAGACATGACACAAACCTGGAGCCCTGGGTCGTTCAAGCACGATCTCCTCCGTAGAGACCATAGTTAGCCGAGCCCCTACGTCCTCATGGACTGCGTCGCCGAACTTTGGCCAATTTCTCCGTTCCAACGCCCGTCGACTCAGGCGAGCCTTGGCCAGCTTCCTCACGCGGGTCGTTGTCGTGATCTTCACCTTGTTTCCATCGTCGTTGAACTTGTACTCAATAACTCGTTTAATCCCACTCTCATCGGGTCCAATCACTTCTTTCGGAGGCAACAGGAAGTCCAGATCCTCCCCATCATCCTCGTCCAATTCACCCCACCGGAGCTTGCTAGGTGCGGATTTCTCGATCGCCATGTTCCGCTCGAACGATAAGGAGGAAAGCAGAAGCGGCGGCAGCAGCAGGTGTTGATCGGGACTGGTATTAGGGTTTCAGCGAGATGCAACAGTTCTAATGAAATGAGAGGATGAGAATTCGTTGTGGTTTCATTATATTCCACCGCCAACAGCCCATTAAGATAAGCTGGTTCAGGCCCGGCCCAGCACGGCTGAAGAAGAATAAGTTGCACAACGTTCCCTGTTTATTTTACTAGCTTAATTCTCGGCCCATTCGCAGGATTGCCAAAATATATTTAGAATTTATATTCTAATCTTATATAATTCTCTTAAATAATATAAAAGCTAATTTATTTCAAGCAAGATAAGGAATGCAAGTAAATTAAAATTTGGAACGGAAGGTACATATCATGCCATGTATATATAATTAATATGAGTTTTTATTTTGAAAAATATATAATTTATGGTTTTATGTGGAAAAAACAAACACATCGAAATGTTTATCAATGAAGATTTCACATTAGAATAGAAACTCTAGAGCACAAGGTAACGTTTCATCTCTATGTCTCTGGAGAGTATCTCTGTCTTCTCACTGCCTTCCAGTGGTGACGTTTCATCTTCCTACTATTCTGGAGAGTGTTTTCTTGTCTTCCTCATCGTTTCTTCCCCATTGTGTCCCTCTCTTCTCTCCCCTTTTCTTCTTCTTTTGTGTCTACTTGTAGTCTCTCTGTGCGGATTCTTCTAGGCCCAGACTGAGGTGGTCTCTTTGTTTCTCAGTCTCCCCCATTTTGGACCGGATAATTTGTGTCTCTTGGTTTTCTCTACTTAGTCTGCTCGTTTGATTGTGACTGTTGTTTCCCCTGATTTATTTATGGAGAACGAGTTAGTAAAGAAGCTATCTGGCATTGACTTAACTGAAGAAGAGTAAGCTGTCATCAGTCTGGAAGATGCGGTAGCAACAGTAGGGGTTGAAGAAGCAATAAAGGAACTAGGTCTTGCTGGAAAAGTTATTAAAGGCAGCCCTCCCTCTGGGAGGATTCTGAAGAGGATTCTCGGTGAAGCATGGAAGCTGAAGAATGATTTCGACTTTCAAGTTACAAAAGAAAACATCATGTGTATACAACTCTATTGCTATGAAGATAGAAATAAAGTCCTCTATGGAGGACCATGGCATCTGGAATGACAACTGATGATTTTCAAGGAAGTCCCTTCTGATATGGACTTGACAAAGCTTGACTTCTCATGGGAGGATTTTTGGGTTCATATTAGGAAATTTCCCTGAATATGAGAAACCCTCAGATGGCAGAGAAGGTGGGGGCTATGTTTGGCAGCTTTATCCGCTGGGATGAGTTGCATTCTGGAGTAAGCAGTGATTATATGAGAGTTAGGGTTTCTCTGTCTATACAGAAACCCCTGAGAAGGGTTATTAAGATGCATAGTAAGGAAGGATCGGTCTCCTACAGAGGGGGATATGAGAGACTTCCTATATACTATTTCAAATGTGGAATATTGGATCAACTAAGAAAGTCTTGCCCTTTACTCCAGGAAAAGGACGATGACAATACAGAGCCTTATGGTTCTTGGATGAGAGCCGATTCCCCAATAAAAAAATTATCTCTGAAGGAGAAGGATAAATCGCAGCAACTATCAAAACTATGGGAAGAAGTCCAAGCCGGGAAAGTCTCTAATAATAATAAGGTTGTGGTGGCAAAAGAAACGGAAAAGCAAGCAGATGAGCTCTCTGAAGGTTTGTTGTTTATCAAGGTTAATGACTATGTAAATGTTTCTGCCTCGGTTTTAACTGGTGGGGAGAAGGATTCAGAGACGGAAAGTGGGCTAAATCAGAATCCCAGTGAAGTACAAAATGCAGTCCCATTAAAGAAATCTGAGGAGCACAAGGAAGCTGAGCTTGGGAAGAATAATGCTCAAGGCAATATACCAACAGACGAGAACAAACAGGCAACAAAGCATGAAAAGAAATGGCAAAGGGTGGAAAGAAAGGCCCCTAGTTCTCAATTTCAAGGTCAAGGAAAAATGGACATGGGAAAACGCAGGGCTCCTGATGAGATGGAAATAGACGAAGCCCCATTGGGAGATAAGCGACATAAACCCTTCTCTTTCTCTGATTTGGATGGTGATGTGGCGGACCTTGCCGAGGAGCAAGGCCGCCGAGCCCAATGAAGCTTCTAAGTTACAACTGGTGAGGTTTGGGCAGCTCCTCGACAATTGCTAAGTTGAAAAGGCTGGTCCGGAAACAACAACCTGACATTATTTTTCTTATGGAAACTCGAAAAGATGAGGGTGGATGGCAAGAGGTTCAACGCAAGTTGGGCTACTCAGGTGGATGTGGGGTGGCAGCAAGAAATGATAAAGGATGGAAGGCAGGGGGTTATCTTTATTGTGGAATGAGGATGTTTCTATTGTAAAAGTATCATCTTCACTCCATCACATCGACGTCCTTGTTAGCAACGAGGATGGGAATAGAGGTGGCAATTGGATCGGATTCGTGGATTGGATTGGTGGATCCATGGATCAAATGGATTGGATCCAATGGATTGGTGGATTCATGGATCGGATCAAATGGATTGGTGGATTGATCCATGAATCCAAATGACATCCAAGGCTTGGACCAAAATGTCATAATGAAAAATTTTAGGTACCAAAATGTAATTTTCCAATGATATTTTCGTATAAAAATATAAATTTTAGGTACCAAAATGTAAAATATAAAAAATATAGGTACCAAATCATAATTTGCCATTTGGATCCATGGATTGATCCATGAATCCACAAATCCAATTGGATTTGGATAAAATGGATTGGATTTAAATGGATTAGATTAGGTGGATAATTTGGTGGATGGATTGGATTGGATTCATGGATTTGGATCCTAATTGCCACCTCTAGATGGGAGTGATAGTTAGAGATTGACATGACATATTCAGATCGTGGAATCTTCTCAGGGATCTAAAAATGGTTGTTCCTTACTGACTCGCTATGACACAACTCCTAACAATGGCCAAGTGTAACCAATGAAAGGGACTGCAGTATAGTGGCTCAAGTAATAAATATCGAATCCACGGGTCTCTAGAGTTACTATTACTCAGCTTCAGTTCATTATCTAGCAAACCAGATTAAGATAGAAGAACTAAAACTACTCTAGCAAACTACAGTTAAGGTTAATTTAATTACAAGTTGGGAACTCACTTAGGTATGATTCCCCCTAGCCACTAGCCACTAGCCAGATTAATGATTGATGATCTCTAACCTGTTTCACTTTTATTCACAATGCGGAGAATCCTTAACTATACCTTGAGTCTCGACTAAAGGAACAAGGCCCTCTTGAGTCAATTGCCTAGAGGGACGTATCCTTCTCTAGAACAACCGATCAAGGCGTTCTGAACTAGACTCCCTCTATCGAAAGAGGTTCTCAATCGATACAAAGCAGTGAATCAACCCTCGACTAAAGCAGTCGATCCAATACTATCAATCTATGGTGCTCTATTGACCTAATCAGGTATTCGCTCTCATAGGATCAAAGCAGAATCAATAATCTTGACTAAAGCAGAATTGAATCGTGAAAACATGCATAGATTGAATATGAACTCAAGATTATCAAGTCAGAGTACTCATACAATCATCCAATCAAACAAACATAGCTAGGGTTCCTCAAACTAAGTGAAGGGAAGTTACTCCATAGAGAAGAGAGAGACTGCAGAAATCTGATCTAGATCTTCAATCTCCATCTCCAAGCTTGATTCCCGAGCTCCAATGGCGAAGAAATCCTCCAAAATAGCTCCAAGAATGTTCCCAAGTCGCTCTCTCTCTCTAGGGTTCGTCCCTTGGGTGTTTGGGATCCAAAACCCAGCTCTCTCTCTCCTTTGGCTCGAATTTGGGTTAAAAACCCGATTCTGGGCAAAACACGGTCGCGGGCACGGCCGTGCTTTGCTTTTGACCGCCCGTGTTAAAAACACGCTCGGTCGCGTCGGTCAAAACACGGTCATGCCTAAATATGGGCACGGCCGTGTTTTGATTTAGGCGCGCCCGTGTTTTTACTGCCGAACCTGTTCCCCTATATTCAATGCTTCGTTTCTCCCTCGTCCGGACTCCGAATCAGTCGCCATTTGATCCCAGACGCTCGTAGTCTCGTCCTCTTTCTTTTCATGACAAGCTTGCATGATTCTATGTCCATAAAGTGAGGTAGAAATCCATTCTTCTTCAGGTCATGCCAGAGTTTCTTCTCCCGAATCGCCAATTGATCTCTGATTGACTTGAAACTTGCGCCTATGCTTCACTTTATGTGCTAGGACCTGAAATAAGACAAAGGAACACAACCTAGCGTAAAATAGGCCAAAGAAGCGATAATTAAAGCTCAAACGATCAAGAAACACAGGGGAAAACATGTGCAAATATCGAGTCATCAAATCCCCCCACACTTAACCGTTTGCTTGTCCCCAAGCAAACCTAACTCAAACCAATGCAGCTCTCCAGAGCTCTATAGCAACATACAACCCCGATCGTCGGTAGAGGATTTCCTAGATCATATAGCAGCTTACGAGGTCAACTGGTCTTCTAAGACGTTCCCTATCTCTCTCAATGCGAGTACTAGACTCAAGCCAGGATCATGAGAAAAAGTAGAAGTAAGACAGTCAGTTCATGGATAAAGGGACTCACACCATTCACAACCAAGGACTCGTTGTACCGGGGTGCTCTTTCACTTCATTTCACCGTTAGAACCCCTTTTTCTCACTTTCATTTACATTTTTTTTTTTTTCCTTTCATTGGGGGGTTCCAACTGCAGTCTTTTGCACGGTCGACCCTTATTAGTCGAGCAAGAGCAATTTCTGTACATCTGGCGCTCGCCAGAGTACTTCTTTTAACTCCTTTTCCTCAACTCGTGTGGAGGGTCAATGAAATTAAGGGGGGTCGGAAGCTCTATCCGTGCCCTTAAAAACACATCCTCGAGTAGGCAAACCGTTCAACGGGTGAAAATTTTACTTGTACTAGAGACAGCTTAGCTTCACCTTGTAGGAGTACCCCACTAAGGATCACTAAAATCTCTTCCAAAACCCGATTTTGTGCAATGAACGTGCCACACACGTTGGGCTTACCCCATGTTTAAGATTTCAATGATTTCG